CCCAGGAAGAAGGTGGCCGATCCGATCTGTTAGGCTTGTCTGCAGGGAAGCCTTGGTTGCAAATGCTGGCACTAGGCGCTTGGAACATCTTGGGACAGCGATGACTGCAGTGCTTCACAGCTTGGTTGTGGAGGGAGATGGGTTTGAAACATACCACGTCCTGGCAATGTGAAGCCTTGTGTACCCTTACAGCTACCACCCACACTGCAAGCTGGCTCTCGGGGCACCCTCCCCTCCTTGTCTCAAAGTGGTGCCTTGATTGTGACTGGTGGCCACCTCTGTACTTGCTGCCTGTCAAATATCCTGCCCACATGATGTGCCTACAGGAAAGGGAGGTATCTCTCTCTTTCCCTTTCACTACACATGCCTTTTTTTGACACAAGAATACTGTGCCATAAGCAGACTTGCCTTTTTAAATGCCAGGGGTGGGAGAGCTGTTTGTTGGGGGAGTATTAAACTCCAAGAATCTGGGTACCATTTTTCTTGTCCGGACGCTTGGCTGCTTTGAAGATGGGTGCCCCAGAGTGAGCTTAGTGCACTTCTACAGCACTCGCACTTCGGATTGGGGTGCAGTGGTGAGATACCAAAGAAGAAAACAGCCTCTCTCCCCCCACTTTCCTTGTAGCTGCTTAAATCTCAGGTTTCTTCTTCCGCTGAGATTCCCCCTCTCCACCACCGGCGAAAACACTGGCATGTCTACTTGAACAATATCACTAGCTAGGACCTTGACCTAAGTGCATTTGTAAGTTTTGTATATTAAATAAATGCATTTTTATTAGACCTTATATTGCTCATCTTAAAAAGCAGAATGTGTGTGTTAAGGGGAACATTAGCTTAAGAGCTAATGAAAGAAGCATTCCAGGCCAGTATTGACCTTTTAAGTAGGGATGGAGGGTGGGGAGGCTCCCTACCTGCCCATCTTGATGAAGTGTTGTTGTTGTTGTTTAGTCATTTAGTCGTGTCCGACTCTTCGTGACCCCATGGACCAGAGCACGCCAGGCACTCCTGTCTTGCACCGCCTCCCGCAGTTTGGTCAGGCTCATGTTTGTAGCTTCGAGAACACTATCCATCCATCTCATCCTCTGTCGTCCCCTTCTCCTTGTGCCCTCCATCTTTCCCAACATCAGGGTCTTTTCCAGGGAGTCTTCTCTTCTCATGAGGTGGCCAAAGTATTGGAGCCTCAACTTCACGATCTGTCCTTCCAGTGAGCACTGGTCTGATTTCCTTAAGAATGGATGCGTTTGATCTTCTTGCAGTCCATGGGACTCTCAAGAGTCTCCTCCAGCACCATAATTCAAAAGCATCAATTCTTCGGCGATCAGCCTTCTTTATAGTCCAGCTCTCACTTCCATACATCACTACTGGGAAAACCATAGCTTTTACTATACGGACCTTTGTTGGCAAGGTGACATCTCTACTTCTCAAGATGCTGTCTAGGCCTGTCATTGCCCTTCTCCCAAGAAGCAGGCGTCTCTTAATTTTGTGGCTGCTGTCGCCATCTGCAGTGATCATGGAGCCCAAGAAAGTAAAATCTCTCACTGCCTCCATTTCTTCCCCTTCTATTTGCCAGGAGGTGATGGGACCAGTGGCCATGATCTTCGTTTTTTTGATGTTGAGCTTCAGACCATATTTTGCGCTCTCCTCTTTCACCCTCATTAAAAGGTTCTTTAATTCCTCCTCACTTTCTGCCATCAAGGTTGTGTCATCTGCATATCTGAGGTTGTTGATATTTCTTCCGGCGATCTTAATTCCGGCTTGGGATTCATCCAGCCCAGCCTTTCGCATGATGAATTCTGCATATAAGTTAAATAAGCAGGGGGACAATATACAGCCTTATCGTACTCCTTTCCCAATTTTGAACCAATCAGTTGTTCCATATCCAGTTCTAACTGTAGCTTCTTGTCCCACATAGAGATTTCTCAGGAGACAGATGAGGTGATCAGGCACTCCCATTTCTTCAAGAACTTGCCATAGTTTGCTGTGGTCGACACAGTCAAAGGCTTTTGCATAGTCAATGAAGCAGAAGTAGATGTCTTTCTGGAACTCTCTAGCTTTCTCCATAATCCAGCGCATGTTTGCAATTTGGTCTCTGGTTCCTCTGCCTCTTCTAAATCCATCTTGCACTTCTGGGAGTTCTCGATCCACATACTGCTTGAGCCTTCCTTGTAGAATTTTAAGCATAACCTTGCTAGCGTGTGAAATGAGTGCAATTGTGCGGTAGTTGGAGCATTCTTTGGCACTGCCCTTCTTTGGGACTGGGATGTAGACTGATCTTCTCCAATCTTCTGGCCACTGCTGAGTTTTCCAAATTTGCTGGCATATTGAGTGTAGCACCTTAACAGCATCATCTTTTAAAATTTTAAATAATTCAGCTGGAATACCATCACTTCCACTGGCCTTGTTATTAGCGATGCTTTCTAAGGCCCATTTGACTTCACTTTCCAGGATGTCTGGCTCAAGGTCAGCAACCACACTACCTGGGGTATACGAGACATCAATTTCTTTCTGGTATAATTCCTCTGTGTATTCTTGCCACCTCTTCTTGATGTCTTCTGCTTCTGTTAGGTCCTTTCCACTTTTGTCTTTTATTATGGAAATCTTTGTACAAAATGTTCCTTTCATATCTCCAATTTTCTTGAACAGATCTCTGGTTTTTCCCATTCTATTGTTTTCCTCTATTTCTTTGCATTGCTCGTTTAAGAAGGCCTTCTTGTCTCTCCTTGCTATTTTTTGGAAATCTGCATTCAATTTCCTGTATCTTTCACTATCTCCCTCGCATTTTGCTTGCCTTCTCTCCCCCGCTATTTGTAAGGCCTCGTTGGACAGCCACTTTGCTTTCTTGCATTTCCTTTTCATTGGGATGGTTTTAGTTGCTGCCTCTTGTATAATGTTACGAGCCTCCATCCATAGTTCTTCAGGCACTCTGTCCACCAAATCTAAATCCTTAAACCTGTTCCTCACTTCCACTGTGTATTCATAAGGGATTTGACTTAGATTGTATCTTACCGGCCCAGTGGTTTTTCCTACTTTCTTCAGTTTAAGCTTGAATTTTGCTATAAGAAGCTGATGATCTGAGCCACAGTCAGCTCCAGGTCTTGTTTTTGCTGACTGTATAGAGCTTCTCCATCTTTGGCTGCAGAGAATATAATCAATCTGATTTCGATGCTGCCCATCTGGTGATGTCCATGTGTAGAGTCGTCTCTTGTGTTGTTGGAAAAGAGTGTTTGTGATGACCAGCTTGTTCTCTTGGCAGAACTCTATTAGCCTTTGCCCTGCTTCATTTTGAACTCCAAGGCCAAACTTGCCAGTTGTTCCTTTTATCTCTTGACTCCCTACTTTAGCATTCCAATCCCCTATTATGAGCAGAACATCCTTCTTTGGTGTTACTTCTATAAGGTCTTGTAAGTCTTCATAGAATTGGTCAATTTCAGTTTCTTCAGCACCAGTAGTTGGTGCATAAACTTGGATTACTGTGATGTTAAAAGGTCTGCCTTGGATTCGTATCGAGATCATTCTATCATTTTTGAGATTGCATCCCAGTACAGCTTTCACCACTCTTTTGTTGACTATGAGGGCCACTCCATTTCTTTTACGGGTTTCTTGTCCACAGTAGTAGATATGATAGTCATCCGAACTGAATTCGCCCATTCCCGTCCATTTTAGTTCACTGATGCCCAAGATGTCAATATTTATTCTTGCCATCTCATTTTTGACCACATCCAACTTACCCAGGTTCATGGTTCTTACATTCCAGGTTCCTATGCAATATTTTTCTTTACAGCATTGGACTTTCCTTTCGCTTCCATGCATATCCGCAACTGAGCGTCCTTTCGGCTTTGGCCCAGCCACTTCATCAGCTCTGGATCTACTTGTACTTGTCCTCTGCTCTTCCCCAGTAGCATGTTGGACGCCTTCCGACCTGAGGGGCTCATCTTCCAGCGTCATAACTTTTATATGCCTGTTGTCTTTGTCCATGGAGTTTTCTTGGCAGGGATACTGGAGTGGCTTGCCAGTTCCTCCTCCAGGTGGATCACGTTTGGTCAAAACTCTCCACTATGACCTGTCCATCTTGGGTGGCCCTGCAAGGCATAGCTCATAGCTTCTCTGAGTTATTCAAGCCCCTTCGCCACGGCAAGGCAGTGATCCATCTTGATGGAGTAGGAGTAGTGAAACACTGAAGGGGGGAGTGTGCTCACATCACTGGCTCCTGTGGTGGTGAGTTCGCGAAATGGGGTTGTCAGGCTCTGCTCAGTTGCCATGCAGTTTCTAAGAGCCATTTAATGGCTGTCTAATTCTACTCACCTTCCACATTCTTAACTGTTTTATCCCCGCTGCATAGACCTATCAGCTGCCCCTCCCCTACAGGGGAGGTTGCCATTTTATAGAGCCTAAGATATGACAGTATACAGTGGGCTGGGGTGGCCATTCCATAAAATCAGAAATCTAAGGAAGGTGCTTTTAGTGTCTAGGGTATTTGGGCTGTGGAACTGCTATTGCTCTGAGCTAGCCCTATGTGGGAGAAAGGGTTAATGTCCAAGCTCAGCCAGGTCCTGAATTTGGGCACTATCAAGCCTCCCAAGGTGTCGTTTCCCACAAAAGACCCCCAGCAGCCCTTCATTCTTTTGAACTGGCTGTGTTTTGGTGCAGCTGGAGTTTTTCCTTTGCACCTGGTGGCTGAAGCCCCAGGGAATTCTCAGAAGTCAGTTGTGGAATTACTGAACTAACAAAAATTTGTAACTTCACCATCAGATCAGCCTCCATGTCTGAGGACTGGAAATTAGCCAATGTAATGCTCAGTTTTAAAAAGGGATCCAGGACCATCCTGCAAATTAAAGGTCAATTAGCTTAGCATCTGTCCTTGTGATAACTGGTGGAAAGTATCGTTAAGCATAATATACCGGTAACCAAGAAGAAGAACAAGAAGAACAAGCCCTACAGAACCAGCATGGCTTCTGCAGGGGCAAGTCCAGTTTCACAAACCTATTAGAGCTCTTAGAGAGTGTCAACAGGCCATCTAGATAGAGGTCTAGATGGTTGAGATACTGTACTTGGACAAAGTCCTTTACTAAATTCTCCATAGTAAGTTTAGCAGTCATGGAGTAAGAGGAGAGGACCTCTTGCGGTTCAGGAATTAGCTTGCAGGAAGTGAAGAAGGAATAAATTGATAGTTCTCTGAATGGAGAGATGCAGGAAGTAGAGCCCCCCAAGGGTCAGTATTGGGAACTGTGCTTTTTAACATAATCATAAATGATCTAGTGTTAGGAATGAGCAGTGAGGTGGGCAAGTTTACTGATGATAATAAGTCATTTAGGGTCATTAAAAGAGATGATGAAGAGCTTCAAAAAGGGTACTACATTGGCAAAAGCACTGTAATGCAAAGAAGTGTAAAGTGATGCATGTTGGGGCCAAAAATCTGAATTTCACATATATACCATGGGATCTGAACTGGCAGTGAACTGACGAGGAATGAGACCTTTGGGTCATAGTAGACAGCATGAGTCAGATGTTGGTGCAGGGTGAAGCGGCTAAAAAAACAAGTTCTGCACTAGGGATCATCAGCAAAGGAAATGAAACAAAGCTGCTGATACAATGCTGTTGAATAACTCTAAGGTGTGACTGTACTTGCAATAATCGGTACAGCTCTGGTTGCCTCACCTCAAAGAGGACACTAGAGTTGGGAAAGGTTCAGAAAAGGGCAGCCAAAATGATTTCTCATAAGGGAGGAAAACTAGGAACTCCTGGGCATCCAGTGAAGTTGAATGTTGGAAGATTCATGACGGATAAAATGAAGTGCAGCAGATTAGACAAATTCATTAAGGAAGAGAGGGCTATCGAGGGCTTGCTAGCCCTGATGGCTATCCTCTGCCTCCTCGCTCATGGGCAGCAAATGCTTCTGAATGCCAATTGCTGGAAACCGCAGGAGGGAAGAGGGCTCTTGCAGGTTTGGCCACTGTGAGAACAGGGTGCTGCTCTGATCCTGCAGGCTCCTCGGATGTTCGATTCCTCTGAGATGACCAGCTGAGCGAAGCGGTGTTGTTGTTTTTTGAACGTCTGACTACCTTGCGCGTCATAATGTCATCAGGCGATTGACGCTGTCCCTGTCCAACAGGAAGCGAGCGCAGCAGCCAGCTGGCGCGGGAGAGGCGGCTCCTTCCCCATCGCCTCGCCCCTCAACGGCCCGAGCAGCCGCTCTCCTTCCTTCCTGCCTGCCTTCCTTCCACCCCGCCTCCCATGCCCCGGGAGCAGGCGCGAGCGAGCGAGCCCCTGAGCGCGTGCAGAGTTCCGCGCGCCCGCCCCGTCCCCGCGTCTTCCGCGCCCCTGGCGAGGATGTCCTCGCTGGCGGCTGGGCTTGGGGCGGCGGCGGACGACGAGGAGGTGGCGGCGGTGCTGGGCGGCGGGGGCTGGCCGGTGGTGGCGCCGCCGCCGCAGGGCCGCGATCTGGAGCCGGCGCGCCTGCGGAGGAACACCTGCTACATCGTCCTGGCCGTCCTGCTCAACGAGGAGGTGCGGCTGCGGGACGGGAGGAGAAACTGACGCTGCGGCTGTTCTCGGGGGTGGAGGGAGGCGCTCCCCTCTCTCCCTGGTCGCGGCTGGCTTGCCTTGGCCCCTCGACGGCGCGCCAGGCAAAGCAACGCTGCAAAGCATCCTTCCCCGCAGCCAGATTGCTTTGCAGCATCCACAAGCCCGCACGCACGGAGGCGGGGGTCCGGCAGGGAGTGGCGGAGTCCAGGTGGCCTGGCAGCCCCGCTCCCACAATGTATATGTGTCTATATATCTTTCCTCGCCCCCTTGCCCAACAGGGAGAAGTGCTGATGATGCAGGAGGCCAAGCGGGAGTGCCACGGGCGGTGGTACCTGCCGGCGGGGCGGATGGAGCCCCGGGAGACCATCGTGGAGGCCATGCGGAGGGAGGTCCAAGAGGAGACGGGCTTGCAGTGCCAGCCCCTCACCCTGCTGGCCGTGGAGGAGAGGGGCCCCGCCTGGATCCGCTTCGTCTTCCTCGCCCGACCCACCGGTGCTGGCCCGGGCGCATCTCAGGGGGACTTGGAGCTCCGCGGGTTGGGAGGTCGGGGTTATCCCCTTGGCAAGAGGTGCCCTGCTTCGATGCAGAGCCAACTGGGGGTTGCAAGAGCAGCAGAGGAATGCAGGAAGCTTGCTGGGCCTCCCTAGACCCAGGGCATGCACATGGATTTGCATGCAGAGATGCCCATCTGTGGTGCAGTGCTTTCCAAAACTTCTTCAGTGCTATCCCATAGAAAGCATCACCCAGAACAGCAGCTTGCACTGTAGCAGGAACCGGTAACAGCACCACCCACTAAGGAAGATAATAGCACAAAAAAATTCAAAACAGTAAGAGTTAGTTGCACATTTATTTAAAAAAAATAAACACGTGCTCTGATCCAATCTTGCAGCTTGAAAATATATACAACAAAGAATTTTGCAGGGAAAGTATTTTTATACATTCTTACTAACAAAAGCATATAGATGAAGGAAATTTATAGTTTGAAATGTCTGCATTTATGTACTTCCCAAACATACACAAAGCTTCACAGATGTACAGTAACTAACTTCTTAGAAAATTAATAGCTGTTAGCAATAATTGACTATCTGGCGACTTGTGATAATGTAGAATCCTAAAGACAAACAAATGTGACCAAACAAAATAGCTTTGAAAGCAGTAAGAGCAGTAAATACGAAGTAAGAAAGGTGTTTCAGTTGAGGTGCCAGCCTGGTCAATCCTAAATAAGCCATCAATGCCCTCAGAGGGGCCCACCTCCAGCCCCCCTCGCCCCCCCCATTGCCTCTTAGCATCCTCCCAGGTAATCCTGTCGCCTCCCCCCCCCGGCATTTCCACCCACTTTGGGAACCACTGGCCTGAGTTCTCACTGGCCTTGGGCCTTTCAGCATTTTCACCAGCCCTGCCTGTATGTCTTATTAAGAAGGGACCCAGGAGAGGGGCAGGAGATCTGGGACCCAGGGCAAAAGTGCTGGGCCCTAACAGTGCCTTTGCAAAGCATGAATCCCGTCTCCAAGTGGGGGGCTCTGTGTTTTTCCCTTCCCCAGTGAAGGACAAAGCATTAAACTGGGCAAGAAGCAAGGTGTCCCAGTGTGGCTGTGTTCCAAGGCCACTTCTGAACATCTGGAGTGTGTTTGGGGTGTCAGACTGGATGAGTCCCTCCTGATTCTTGGGGTCTTGGACCCAGTGAGGGCTACAATCTAATTAGAGGTTTGCTGAGCAAGTTTCTCTGCAAGGTAATGGCCTTCCCGTGTATCCTAAAAACACCAGTCTCCACTGAGCATTCCAAGGAAAGTGAACCTTGGACCGGGCTGGCATATAGCCGAGAAAATCCATCCTTGTGGGTGCACACACATGGCACAATTGCCTCGACTCCCACCTAACCCCAGGCATCTTCTCCCTTCCAGGTGGTGCCTTGAAGACCCTTCAGGAAGCTGACGCAGAATCCCTGCAGGCCCAGTGGTGGAACAGGGAGACGCCCTCCCTGCCTCTGCGTTCCCGGGACATCTTGCCCTTAATAGAGCTGGCTCTGCGGTACCAAGCCAGCCCGGCCCACCCGCGAACGCTGCCCGTGGAGCTGCCTTGCGCCTTCATCTGCCAACGCCTGCTGCTTGTCTGTGTTGGCAGCAGTGGCGACTTGTGGGTGCTTCAGGGGACAGCGGGGGCTCCGGGACTTCCTCTGGCCACAAGCGGCCTGGCTCCCTCACAGCTGGGTCACAGGCTCCTGGGGGCCATCCAGCGCCTACTCCAGGACTCCCTGCCACACCCCCAGGTGCCCGTCCGCATCCAAGGCCTGCTTGGGGTCCAGCATCTTGGGAAGGAGCCCGGGCAGAGCGATGGGATCTGTTTCAACATCATGGCGTCTGTAGGCGACAAGGGACGGTGGCTGGATGAAGCGCCCCCGGCGTTGCAGAGTGGAGCCTTCCTCTGGCGGAAGGTGGAGGATGAGGCCCTGCGGAGCCGGATCCTGCAGAGGCTTGATGAAGAGTCCTTTGTCCCCATTAACAGCTGAACCACCCCCCTGTGGAGATGCAGGATGGTCCTGGGTGTGTACTTTGGGGACTTTGGGCCAGGCAAGGATCCCTGGAGGAGCCTCAGATGGGCCAAAAATGCTCGCTGTTTGCTGGAATGAGGGACGCTGGGAGTCTGTGGTACCACAGAGGGCACCTTGCATTGTGCCTTTGCAGGAAACAACGCAACAGCTGAGGGCTTGAAGGCACCTGAACTCTGGAACTGGCCAGGAGAACCTTTTCTTGCTCCAGAGTGGCAGCTCACAGCTGTGATTCTTCCACCTTTCCGCACCAGGAGCATGGCAATGCCTGTGCATGCCGCCCCCCCAATTGCCCAGCTTCTGGGTTCTCCTCACAGCTGCAAGAAAAAGGACCTTGACAGGAGGAGCTTAGAGCTCTTGCCACCCTTATGGATGATTTGCAGCCTTGTAGAATCCAGCCAGGCTTGGTAAAAATAAAATTAAAAAGTTTCCCCTCGTGTTCTACTGTTTCTGCATGTTCTTGTTTGTAAACGAGAAAGGGGGGCTCAGCGACTTCCCACAGGTCCTAAACATGAGCGTGAGCAAAGCCGGGACGTTTACCACAGATTATTTATTTCAAGGCACGAGTAAGAAACCGATCAGGGTAGAAGCAGAGAACCTGTAGCTGCAGTGTGGAGACACCAAAGTGCGTCCCAGCTTACGGAGAGGGGGGCAGTATTGCACTTTGAAAAGAGTCTTTAGACCCACAACGGACTGGACGCTGTGCCTGGCCATGGTGGGTGGAGCCTGCCCCAGCCAGGGCTGCTGGTGGTGGCATTTATTTACGTATTGCGTATTGAAATGAATAGCTCACCTTTTCCTCCAAGGCGCTCCAGGCTTGGTGGTTCTTCTCTCCCTCCTCATTCAATCCCAACCACAACAACCCTGAGAGGCCGAGAGGCAGTGACTGCCTTAAGATCGCACCCAGTGAGTTTCATGATGGCTGAGTGGGGATTCGGACCCTGGCCTCCCAGGTCCTCTTCCACCCTGTGACCTAGCCTCTCTCTCAACCTTGGGTCTCCAGGTGCTATTGGACTACAACTCCCATCATCCCTGACAACTGGTCCTGCAAGCTAAGGATGAGGAGAGCTGTAGTCCAACGCCACCTGGGGAACCATCGTTGAGAGAGGCTCTCTGGGAAGGGGTTAAGTTGCAGCTGATGAGAGGAAGGCTAGCAGAAACTCTGTTAGAATTGAAAGTAAAAATGAAAGGGAAAGGGCTCTTTTCCTGAGGAGTTGAGACTGGACAGATCAATCCGGAAAGGAGCAGAAGAAAACAACGTCTGCTGTGGTTAGGAGCAAATAGTGTCTCCCCCTCTTTGGCCTGGCCTTTGAGGCCTGCAGAGAAGGTCAGAATCGAGGCAGGAGGCCCCACAACGCCTAACGCCCAGCCATGGATAGTAGGAAGATTCTTCCTTTCACAAAGCAGCTTTCGGTCACCCTGCCCGCCCCACTTTCCCATTGGGCAAACATTAAATAAAACAAGCCAGAGATTAAAAACCCAGAAAGTCCAGGAGGAGCTTTTAGTGTCTTCCGTACCAGACTGCCCTGAGGTGCCACATGCCGGCTCCAGGCTCCTGCAGGGAGAAAGGGAGCCATGTTGCTCTGAAATCACAACTGGATCTGCCACGGCGAGAGACTTCTGAGGGAGAAGGCAGAGGACTTCTGGCTTTGTGAGGAACCACACGCTCGACCTCAGGAAGAGCTAGGTCTCGCCTGGTCACAGCCTGACTTCTGAGACTTTTGCTCTAGGGACTGGGCGTGAGGCTCCTGGGCAGCCCTTCAAGCACAGGGGGCTTGCCTCTGCTCTCCCCACATGAAGGCGACTGCTGCGGCCCGGTTCTTACGAGGCTGCAAAGGGCCTCTAGGGTTGCCGCAAATGCCCTTGCCAGACCCCAGCTGTGCATCCATCCCTTGAGAAGTGTGGGATCCAAAAGGGGCAGCGCGCTCCTTGGAACGTCAGGCGGGGACCTCGCGCATGGACTTGACGAAGACGATGGCCGCCAGCTCCTTGCAGAATTCTTCGAGGACAACCACCCCCTCCAGGAGGGTACGATGGCCGATCCTGTAAGGAAGCAGCATTGTGAGGCTGAGGAAGTGGCCTTGCCCTCATTTCCTATTGCTCTCCTCCCCACTTCTGCTTCTCAAGAACGACAGCACTTTACATCTCCAAAACACCTTCGTCATATATGCGCTATCTGAGTCCTTTGCAACCCTAGCAGAGGAGGCCAGCGTCACGCCCAGGACAGGAGCTTGCCGGAGGGGAGACTTAAACCAAAGACTGCCTCCTTTACAGGTCAGCCTCTTTCCCTCCATACAGATAGTCATTTGTCAGGGAGTCTTTAGCTGTGATTCCTGCTTCCCAAGGGGAAGGACTAGATGACTCTTGGGGTCCCTTCCAATTCTACAAGTCTATGATTCTATGGTCTGTGCAGCTCCGTCTAATCCAGCTCCGAGGGCCTTCTGGCGGTTCCCTTGCTGCAAGAAGCCAAGTTACAGGGAACCAGGCAGAGGGCCTTCTCGGTAGTGGCACCTGCCCTGTGGAACACCCTCCCACCAGGTGTCAAAGAGAACAACAACTACCAGACTTTTAGAAGACATCTGAAGGCAGCCCTGTTTAGGGAAGCTTTTAATGTCTGACAGATTGTGTTTTAATATTTTGTTGGAAGCTGTCCAGAGTGGCTGGGGAAACCCAGTCAGATGGGCAGGGTATAAATAATAATAATAATAATAATAATAATAATAATAATAATTCATCAGACTGTGAAAGGAATAGACGAATATGAAAATGACAGGTCTGGTCGTCCCCCCACATTATGCCTTAGAGTTTGGGATGTGCCTGAATATAAGATGGCCCTGCTGGATCAGGCCAAAGGGGGCCCATCTAGTTCAGCATTCTGTTCTCACAGTGGCCAACCAGATGTCCATTGTGGGAAACCCGCAAGCCAAGATTCAAGCACGAGAGCCCTCTCTCCCCTCCTGTGGTTTCCAGCAACTGATGTTCACATGCATTGCTGCCTCTGACTGTGGAGGCAGAGCAGAGCCATCCTGGCTAGGAGCCATCAACAACCCTCTCCTCCTTCTTGACTTTCTCTAATCCTCTTCTAAGTCCATCCAAGTTGGTGGCTACCACTGCCTCCTGTGGAAGGGAGTTCCATAGTTTAACTCTGTGCTGTGCAAAGAAGTCCTTTCTTTTATCATTCAGCTTCATTTTTCTCTATTCAATTGCTCCATGCTGTCTATCATTTTAGGGTTCTCTCATGCAGCCTCTTCTTTACCTTTCCTTTTCTCCAAACTGGAGGTTGGCACCAGCCCTTTCAACCTGTGTGCGGTGTCCCCCCAACACTCACTGTTGTTCTTCAGCAGGGACCAGCCCCATCAGCCCCCTCCGGACCATCAGCAAGTTGGTGGGGAAGTTTGGTATCCGGTGGATCCTTTGCATGAGGTCTCCAATCACCTGGAAGGAGGAGAGACCAAAGGGGCGGCGTGTGAGTCAGGCCTCCAGGTCAGGTGGAGAGGAGGAGCTGGGGGGGAGGGATGATAGGGCTCCCCTTAGCTTAGAGGCACAGGACACCCCAAAAGGCACCTTCTTCCCCAGGCAGAATTCCCCATTTCTCCCCACCCACCCACCCTGCCTGCCTTGCCAAGACTAGACATTACCCTGATCAGGACGGAAAAGAGGGTTCTGCAGCCGGGGGCCAGAGGCAAGTAGGGATCCAGGATGTACTCATGGAGGTGAGGGTGGGGAAAGAGAGCCAGGCGGGACAGCACCGACGTCACCTGCAGGTTCACTGCGTAGGGCTGCAAGGGAGGAATAAGAAGGGGGGCAGAGGGCTCAACTGTGGGGCGTCATTCACAGCCTGCACAAACAGCCAGGCATTGAGGCTCTTATGTACAGTATTCGTTCTGGAGGTCCGTTCTTAACCTGAAACTGTTCTAAACCTGAAGCACCACTTTAGCTAATGGGGCCTCCCGCTGCCGCCACGCTGCCGGAGCACAATTTCTGCTCTCATCCTGAAGCAAAGTTCTTAACCCAAGGTACTATTTCTGGGTTAGCAGAGTCTGTAACCTGAAGTGTATGTAACCTGAAGCGTATGTAACCCGAGATACCACTGTAATTATTTAAAGCAGAGGCTCCCGGAGTGGCTTACAAGACAAGACACAACACACAAGGGAAAAAGGAAAGGGAGGGATGAGGAAAACAAAAACCCAGGCAGAGATTTCTAAATAGTTGACCTGGTGGCCCAGTTCAGGGGCAGGAGGCGGATGATGGAGCTGGGCCTCCAGCACAGCTGATGCAATGAGCCCTGCTGCTCCCACTTTCTCTTCCCCTGAGACCACCTGATGGAATGGCTGCCCCCAGGTGACAGGTGAGGGGAGAGGAGGCCGGATGGAGCTGGCTGGCCTCTCACAGCAGAGCCCTGCTTTCCAGCTTCCCTGCTAAGGCAGTCCGGTAGAGAATCTTAGCGCCCCATCCTAGAGAAGGAAGCAGCCCCTGAAACTTGTCTCTCCCTGCCACTTCCAGGCCACAGAAACTCCAGGGTCTTCGCGATGCTGGCCACTCCCAGCAAGGACCCCTTTCCTATCCTTACCTGGTCCAGGATGCGCATCAGCCGTTCAAAGAGCACTTCCAAGAAACGGCCCTCGTAGAAGCCGGTGCTGGCAGAGCAGGTCTCCAGGGGCCGAGGGGCCTTCGGCCAGTGCCAGCAAGATGCCTTGGTACAACATTCCTGGAACTGACAGAAGAGGAGGGATGGATTGCAGGTGGGCACAGGAAGGGGCTAAGGAGAGGCTCTTGCAGGGCCCAGCTGAGACAATAAAGGAGAATGAACTCAAATGCTGTGAATCGCAGGAGCAGGGAACAACACCAGGTATCACAGATCAGCAGAGATCAGGTAGGCAGGGAGACAAGTGACTCACCAGCACACTGGCATCGTGGACATAGGTGTCATACCCGGCCTCTTCCAGGTAGGCAGAGGTCTTTGCTTCACTGGGAACCAGGCAGAGGAAGCTGAGAAAGAAGGAAGCAGGATGGCAATGATGGGGGGAAAAGAAGCCTCTGAGACCCAGGACCCAGGTGTGAGGGTCAGCATTAGGAAGAGGTCAGCATTAGGAAGAACCTTAACATGGCAGCAGGTGTTTAGGCAGTTCCCTCTCCTTCTCTTGGGGATTTTAAGCAGAGGTTGGATGGCCAGGTGTCAGGGATTCTTTAGCTGTGATTCCTGCATTGCAGGACCACATGACCATATATACAGTGGTACCTCGGGTTACATACGCTTCAGATTACAGACTCCGCTAACCCAGAAACAGTACCTCGGGTTAAGAACTTTGCTTCAGGATCAGAACAGAAATTGTGCTCCGGCAGCGCGGTGACAGCAGGAGGGCCCACTAGCTAAAGTGGTGCTTCAGGTTAAGAACAGTTTCAGGTTAAGAACGGACCTCAGGAACGAACTAAGTACTTAACCCGAGGTACCACTGTATATACATTGTGGAGATATAATCCAGGCACTGTTAAAAACCGAGCTGGATGCAGAAAGCCAAGTTGTTTGCCTAATATATAATACAAGCTCCAACCGAAATGCTCAGCCATTTAAAAAAAATTCCTGCAAAATGGCCAAGCCACACAGCTCCCTTGACGGCAGCCCCTGTCTACCTTGTGCCTTCCAGATGCTTTGGACTACAACTCCCATCAGCAGTGGTCAGGACAGCCACACGTGGCTGGCCCTCATGGAAGTAAGAACCATAGAACTGTAGAGTTGGGGGGAGGGACCCACAGAGCTATCTAGCATGTCTGAAATGCTTGGGCCTGGCTGGGCTGGGGTGGGGTGGAGGAATCTGGCGAAGGCCTGCCTTGTGAGTTCAGTTAAGCTGTTCACGTATTGTGAGCCGGTCTCCCTGCCCCCCCCCTTCGTACCTGCTGACCACCTCCTTCACGTCCTCCGGCTGGGCTTGCTGCTTTGGGGCAGGGACGCCCGGCTTGGTAGAGACCTGGAAGCTGGTGCCTGGGAACCCGTCTATGAAGTAGGGATCCTCCTCCAGTTCTCTACAGGTACAGAGAACAGAAGGATTGAGTGGCTGGCCTGGACGAGGGCCCCGTCCCCCAACTTTCCTCTCCCGCTCTCACTTACAGCCCATCTTCGCAGGGCTCTTGCTCACGAGCAAGGGACTCCTCCTGCCCAGGTGGGCTTCTCAGGAGGTAGCTGCGCTCCTCCAGATGGTCCAGGACCAGGCGATGCATGACACGTCGATCCGGAAGCCACAGCAGCTCCTCAAACAGCCTCAAGGTGGCCATACTGATCTGGAGGGGAGGAAGGAAGAAGGGCAAGGAGTCAGGAAAGCCCGCTAGGAGGCCCTGCTCCCAGCACTGGAAGCTGCTGAGTTCCAACACCTCCTTCCACCTGGAAAAAGGTGTAGGGAGATGGAGGTCAGGGGTTGGCCATGGGAAGCCTCCCTTCTGGGAGAGAAGCTCTCACTTCAGGCAGCCTGGAGCCACCCCTTGGAGACCCACAGAAACTCCAGGCAGCCGGCAGGCAAGGTCAGTTGGTAGCAAGACAAGCAAGAGCAGCTATTGAGGGACAAGGGTTTTGGGGTTTCAGACTGTCATTTCCCATCTTGATCAAGCCATGAACATAGAACGAGGCTGCCGGATCCAAACAGGATCCAAACAGAAGAGCAACTCTCTACATAAGGGAGTCGCTCCTTCCCCTTGATCATTTTGGTGTTCCTTTTCTGAACCTTACTAAGGGGCCTGGCAGATAATAATAATAATAATAATAATAATAATAATAATAATAATAAAAAATAATTTTATTTATATCCTGCCCTCCCCAGCTGAAGATGGGCTCAGAGCGGCTAACAACAATAAATGTAACACAGCATTCTAAAATCAATTCATTTTAAAATCAATTCAAAATCAAATTTATGGCAACCATTGAGCTAGAGTTCTGTGAGGATTACTGAAGGAGGGGGTCAGACTGTGCCTTGGCCAAAGGCCTGGAGGAACAGCTCTGCCTTGCAGGCCCTGCGGAAAGATGTCAAGTCCCGCAGGGCCCTAGTCTCTTGTGACAGAGCGTTCCACCAGATCGGGGCCACAGCCGAAAAAGCCCTGGCTCGGGCTGAGGCCAGCCTAACCTCCCTGTGGCCCGGGACCTCCAAGATGTTTTTGTTTGAAGACCGTAAGGTCCTCTGTGGGACATACCAGGAGAGGCGGTCCCGTAGGTACGAGGGTCCTAGGCCGCACAGGGCTTTAGAGGTTAAAACCAGCACCTTAAACCTGATCCTGTACTCCACCGGGAGCCAGTGCAGCCGATATAGCACCAGGTGAATGGCAAGGACCCCGTAAGGAGTCTTGCATTCTGCACCCGCTGGAGTTTCTGGGTCAGTCTCAAGGACAGCCCCACGTAGAGTAGAGATCCAACCACAGAGCCTACTGCTATCCTGGGGAAGCCTCAGCTGCTGCTGAAGGCTTCATTTCCTCCTAAAGAGTTGAGCCTGATCCCTTCCCTGGGGTTCATTGGGCCTCAAAGGCACCATGAGAGTTTCCATTTTGCAAGGGAAGGTTCTGGGGTTGGGGGGGGGGAGGACTGGAAAAGCGTCCCCCATGCTGGGATCTCCTTGGCCTGCTGTGGTCTTTGGTCATCACTACCGCCCCAGGGGTAAGTTCCCAACAAGTGGGGAGAAGACCTCAAGCCGAACAAAACCCATAATCCCGCTCTGAAACTCCTGGGAGCCTGGCAGTTTCCGTGACTCAGGGAAAGTCCTCTGCACATGCTCTGAGGCTTTTGATTGCTTCCCACAAGGAAGCACTGATGCTTGGCCTTCAAAGGTTTGAAAACCTCCGTCTTATCAAGGTGAAGTCCTGAACAGCCTGAGGTCCAGTAAGTTGCTGCCCCCTAAGGGCAGCCTGACCCAAGCACTGAGCCACTGCTGCGTGCTGCATCTTTCTCCCCACTGACGCTTGCAGGAATCCTGCTCAGGTGGAACTTTTCCAGCAGGATTTCAGCTCACCTCGTCAGACAAGTGGTTGCAGCGCTCAATCAATTGGGAGCAGAGGTGGTGTTGCGGCTGGTGGCCTGCATCCTTGGCCACTGCGGGTCCTTCCTTGGTTCCCAGCACAAACCCAACCAATTCCTGGAGGAGCGCAGGAGAGCGGATGTGTCTTACCAAGGCAGTCAGGACAGCTGTCGAGAGAAGGATGCCGCGTTCTGACCTGCCAAGGAAGACAGGGATGAATGAGGGGAGCTGACTTTGGCCATGGGCTTAGTAGGCAGGTCTCCGAGTTCCCCCAAGCAAGACAAGGCTTGGTGCTCACCCCTCTTTCCATGTTAAGCTTGGACTCACATTTGCAGGAGCTGGGACTGCAGGACTCCCTGGAAGAACCTCTGAGCCACCGTCTCACTTACGGCACCTGCCACAACCTGGTGGGGTGAAACACCACAATGACTCATCGTGATCTCTGCAGCTCCTCCTCATTCAGAAACCCGAGTCAGGCAGCAGGCCAAGGGAGAACTGACAATGCAGAAAGCTCCCTGCAACTTGGAGGGAAGGGGCAAAGAGCCTGAGGCAGCTTCCAAAGATTTAACTACGTGGATGTGGATGGAGGTTTCAGCAGGAGGTCTCTTCCTTTTTAAATATTTTATTAAAGTTTTCTTGGTTTACAAAGGTATGTGCAATGTCTCTTTTTTCAAGTTATATTTTCCATAGGTCAGTTTCATTTGTTGAGACATTAGGGTTACATTAGGAAGAAAAAAAGGGGAGAAGAGGTGGATGGGGGTGGGGTCGGGAGGCGATATTTCTATTTTGCTTAATGTATGTGTGGGTTTTTGTGTCAGTGTCGTTTGTGCAGGTTCTCTTTGCTATTCGCTTGTGTTCCTTTGGTGGTGAGAGAGGTTGGGGTTGGCCTAGGGTGTGGTTGTTCATTTGTGGTTGGCTGTGGTGGTCTTTGTTTTCGTGTGTGAGTGGGGTGGGTGGGTGTTTTGGATCAGGTTAGCCATATTGATTTGTATGCTGTCAGCGGATTCTTGTCGTTGTCTTGTTAGGCTGTGTATGTGATGAAGGGGAGCCATATTGGGGTGAAGGCATCGTCTTCTATTAGTCCCCGTGTCAGTTTCAGTTTATTGGTTAATTTTTCTAGTAGGGCTGTTTCCCATACTATTTGGTACCATTGGTCCATGCTTACTCTTGACAGGTCTCTCCAGTGTCTGGCTATGATGCTTCTGGCTGCTGAAAGTAGGTGGGTTATGAGTTCTTTGTGGTGTAAGTGGGCATTATTGTCTTGGAAGATGTTTAGTAGGGCCAGTTCTGGGGTGATTTCTAATACTTGCTTAGTTATTTTACATATTTCTTGTATGGCTGTTGTCCAGAATAGTTGGATTTTGGGGCACTCCCACCACATGTGGAGGTATGTGCCTGTGGAGGTGCACCCTTTCCAGCATTTTGGTGAGGTTACTGGGCATATTGGCTTTAGTTTCCTTGGTGTTAGGTACCACCTGTAAGTGAGTTTCAGAGTGAGTTCTCAGCAGGAGGTCTCTTACCGGGTGGGCCTCTTTCGCTAGGCAATCACAGAGATCGAGCCAGGCAAAGAAAGCCTCCAGGCTGGCCTGGCCTGGGAAGGTGTTCTCCTCAACGCAGCTGCCCTGAAGCCTGGAAGGGCGAGAGGTACAGTTCAGCAATGTATGGAGCACTGCTCCGTCTGAACATCTCGTCAGGCAGATTGAGAGTGAGAGGCAAAACTAAGTCTGACAGCCTCAACACAGACTGGTTTGAGTTATACAGACACAGAATAGGGAGGGTACTTTGCCTGACCTTCGCTGAAAGTCACTGTTTCGTGGGGCCGCAATGGCGCAAAAACGTGGTTACAAAGCATGGATTCTCAAGATTTTTGCATTGGGCTACCCCAAATTCACCGTCAAATCACATATCATGTCTGTGGCCACAGCATGAACCACAAAAATCATAGATCCACTGTTTCGTTCAGAATATTTTTTTTTCTTGTTTTCCTCCTCTAAAAACTAGGTGCATCTCATGGTCGGGTGTGTCTTATGGAGCGAAAAATACGGTAATTATTAATTGGCAGCATTGCATTTGGAAGCTGGTTGGTTGGTTTTTTTACAAAAGGGTGTATGGATTTATGGAGACTTGTGGGCTGGGAGGGAGAAACCTGCACCCATAAGAACGTTAAGAAGAACCCAGTGGGATCAGGCCAATGGCCCACCTAGTCCAGCATCCTCTTCTCACAGCGACCAACCAGATTCCCAAAGGGGAATTGTGCAAGCAAGATCAGAGCACAAGAGCACCCTCCCCTCCTGAGGTGTCTAGCAACTGGTCTTCAGAAGCAATACTTCCTCCTCAACAGCCCCAATGAGAGCTCCTTGGTTCCCAGGGAACAAGCCATGCAAAACCAGCTAGGCCACTTCACTTGCTGGGGGAGGACCAAGGTCTAGGCCTCCTTGTGGCCCCAAAACTCTGGGGGTATCTTGAATGGCAGATGAAGATGATGGACTTTTCGGAGCTAGCCGACCTGACTGGAAGAGTCCGCGACCAGAAGGAGGAGATGTACCAGAATGAATGGATGAAATTTAAAGACTATTTAGTTACTGTATTTTTTGCTCTATAAGACTCACTTTTTCCCTCCTAAAAAGTAAGGGGAAATGTGTGTGCGTCTTATGGAATGACTGCAGGCTGCGCAGCTATCCCCGAAGCCAGAACAGCAAGAGAGATCGCTGCTTTCACTGCCCAGCAATCCCTCTTGCTCGTCTAGCTTCTGAGATTCAGAATATTTTTTTTCTTGTTTTCCTCCTCCAAGAACTAGGTGCATCTTATGGTCTGGTGCATCTTATAGAGCGAAAAATACGGTAAATATGTTAAGATAACTTAATTGGAAAAATTTGCAAATATCAGATAGGCTTAGGATTTAAATATGTGATGTTAGAGAATAAAATGTTTAAAGTTAAAATGAAAAGAAAGAATGATGTTAGGTGATTAAGTTAATCTTATGAGAAATTTGGTTTTGAAAAACTGTTACAAAGATATATACTGAAACTCAGCCAGAGGGATTAGAAGAAGTCACCTAACAATGTTATGAAGAATGGATTAAGTACAGTTAAGATTTATGTTTGTTTGTTTAAAATTTTTGGAAAACCAATAAAAATTGTTTGGGGAAAAACCAAACCAAACTCTGGGGGTATCTTTACCTCCAGCTGACCGGCTGAAGCGTGGTGACATCGGCAGGGTTGACAGTGGCTGGGATGGCACCGCACAGCGTGCAGAGGTGGTCAGCCACCAGGGGGCAAAGCCTGCTGTCTCGCGCCAGAGCCAGGGCAGCTGCTTGATGGTCGATGCTGGTTAGCAGCAGAAGGTTCTCCTGAGCTTTGAGGGCAACCTTCCTCTTCTGCAAGGGAGAGGAAACAAGGCTCCTGAAGCCCCTCCTTGATATGAAGTCTCACCTTTTCCACCTGCCCTAGCAAGAGGCAGCGTACGCCCCGCCCCATGGCCCTTTACCTCGCTCTTGCACAAGCTGATCAGGGAGGTCACCAGGTTTGGGGAAGAGGAGGCTGGTTCCACAAGCCGCACCTCGCAGGAAGTTTCCTCTGGGCACAGTCTTCTGTCCTGCTCTACAGGGGTGGGCAGGGTCCGGGCAGGGTCCAAGGCAGGCTCTGCTGTTGCTCCCTGAGGTTGGAAGGCCGGATCCACTTTCTGCCCACTCGCCACATTCTTGCCCTTGGAAAAAGGGGGAGAATCTGGCTGCATTATCCCTGTTTGGCATGCTGGGCTTAAGGTGGGAAATCAAGCAAAGACACAATGCCCCAGAGGGGTCCAACCCATAGGTGGCTCCTCCAGAATCAACACCAGGCATAGACAAACTCAGCCCTTCAGATGTTTTGGGACTACAACTCCCATCGTCCCTAGCTAACAGGACCAGTGGTCATGGATGATGGGAACTGTAGTCTCAAAACATCTGGAGGGCCAAGTTGCCTATGCCTGATCAACACTCTTGGAATGAACCTGAGATTTGCAGCTGAGCACCCACTGCAGAAAGCAACACCGACTGAGCTCCTTCAAATAATGAGTAAACCGCTTGATTCCTAAAACAAAATGAGTTAGCTATTTCATGCAATTCATACACTGCTTGATTTGCAGACCCGGCATGAAAGGCCTGCTTGATGTGCATGGTTTGGGAGCACTGGGGATTCATTCTCTCTCTCTCTCTCTCTCTCACACACACACACACACACCGAATAACTGTGGCAACAGGCGGAAAAAGAATTAAGTGGTCTGTCAAGACTCTCAGCAATTTTTAAGTGGTCCGGCTGAGAGAGAACAGTTTGGGAACCACTGACTTAAGATAATTTCTGTTGAGGAAATGCTGTATAACTTTTGAAAATAAAGCAATAAAAGATCAGGCATCTGTATTTCTGCAATAATAATAATAATAATAATAATAATAATAATAATATATTATTTATACCCCGCCCATCTGGCTGGGCTTCCCCAGCCACTCTGGGCGGCTTCCCAAAAAATATTAAAATACCGCAATACATCAAACACTAAAATCTTCCCTAAACAGGGCTGCCTTCAGATGTCTTCTAAAAGTCTGGTAGTTGTTGTTCTCTTTGACATATGGTGGGAGGGCGTTCCACAGAGCGGGTGCCACTACCGAGAAGGCCCTCTGCCTTGTTCCCTGTAACCTGACTTCTTGCAGTGAGGGAACCACCAGAAGGCCCTCGGTGCTGGACCTCCGTGTCCGGGTAGAACGATGGGGGTGGAGACGCTCCTTCAGGTATACTGGACCGAGGCCATTTAGGGCTTTAAAGGTCATCCACGCACATACAGACCTTGCGAAAACAGAGCACTCTGCAGTCTGTCCCAGACTGTTAAAAGATGTACTGGTACCTGGAGGCAAGCAGATCCAAGAGACCCTCACCTCTAGGACGTAGGGCAGCAGGGCCGGATCCTGTTTGATCTTGGTACACAGGGCAGCAACAAGCTGCATCATTTCCTTCTCAGGCTCAGAGCCTAGCGCGTCGTTCCCAAGGTGGAGGAGTTTCTGTAGAAGGACAGCGGGTGGGTGGGTGAGGGTAGCAGTGGCTCCAAGGAGCAAATGGGTAGAAAGATGCTTTAGGAATACACTACAATCGCATCTTACGCACATTTAAGATGCTCAATTTCAACCATATGTGGTTGAAGGCCGCTGGCTGAAATCCTGCAAGTTAAATGCAAGCAAGTTGGAGAGATTACCGTATTTTTCGCTCTATAACACGCACCTGACCATAACACGCACATCGTTTTTAGAGGAGGAAAACAAGGGAAAAAACATTCTGAATGAAACAGTGGATGTATCATTTTTGTGCTTCATGCTGTGGCCACAGACATGTGATCTGATGGTGAATTTGGGGTGACCCAATGCAAAAATCCTGATAATTCCTGTGGATCCATGCTTTGTAACCACGTTTTTGCACCATTGCAGCCCCAGGCAACAGTGGGTGCGTGCTTTTTTTGGTGCAGGCTGTAGCCATGGACATGCTATGTGATCTGATGGTGAATTTGGGGTGACCCAATGCAAAGATCCTGAGGATCCATGTGGATCCATGCTTTTTAACCACATTTTTGCACCATTGCAGCCCCAGGCAACAGTGGGATCTATGCTTTGTAACCACATTTTAAGTGGGGAGCGAAGGAAAAACAAAGAAGGGACATGAGAGGGCAGAGAAGCAGCTGGCTAAGAATGCTGGAGAGGGATTTAACCGGTGGGAGAAAAAGAAAGGCAAAAGTTCCCCCCAAGCCAGCCATCTCTCTCTCTCTCTCTCTCTCTCTCTCTCTCTCTCTCTCTCCCCCTCTCCCTCCCCCCCCTCTCCCTCTCCCTCCCCCACTCTCTCTCCCTCTCCCCCAGCAGCACCGGAGCACAGAGAGGAATTAGAAAGAACGACACTCTGCTTGCCTGGAGGGGAGGGGCTTTCCCTGCTCTTTGTTCCGTTTGAGCAAACACAGCAACGAAACAGAGGTGGGTGGGCAGTAAGACCCTGAGGCAGAATGCAGGAAAGCTGCCACTTCCTCTTTTCAGGTTTCCCTTCTCCGTGACTCGCGATTTGACTTTTGCTTGATTTTTTGGCTCCAGGGACCACACATTCGCTCTATAACACGCACAGACATTTCCCCTTCCTTTTTAGGAGAAAAAATCTGCGTGTTATAGAGGGAAAAATACGGTAATAACTTTTTTTTGCGCAAGGAAAACCCGCTGCAAAAAGAGTTTTTATACATCAAACCCACACGTAAGATGCAATCATACTGTAACCAAAAGAGTTTAGAGCCCAGGGCTCAGTATCACGCGAACCAAGAGAAAACATGCAAGTCTGCTTTGTTTTCGAAAATGGAATCCTGCTCTTGTAGCAGAACTTGAGTTGCCTTGGCACAGAATTTGATTTTTCTTTGTCAGCACCGAGTACAATGCTAATTGGAACTTTCGCCAGATTTGACGAAGAGGGGAGTGTCAGAAATTGCCTTCTTTGGCATGGGCAACTCAGACGAACCCTGGCTGGCTCAGCAGAAAGGAACTCACCTGGACAGGCCTGTACACGTTCAGGTAATGCAGCAGAGGGCACTGCATTTGTCCCAGCAAGCGGCTGAAGAATAGGAGCACGTGAGACCTCATCCCCGTGGGATACTGGGGATCAGAAGAGAGACAAGAGAACAGCTACAGAGGATCCCTTCGGCAGATCCTGCCCTGTCCCTCCTGCCACCAGCCCTCAAGGAGCTTTGACACTGACTCAGACAAGTCAGTGAGAACAGCAAAATAAAACACACCACCAAAAATTAGGAGATCAGTTAAGCACCCTAAAATTGCAAAAACAAAACCAAACCCAGAAAGCATAAAATAGCCCAGCAACAGCCCTTCGAGTTATGCCTAGCTGCTGCCTCCAAACACCTACTTGAATAGAGAAGGAAAAAGAAAAGTGCCTGTGTGTTGAATTTTATTCTGCAGGAGAGCTCCATGATCATCCTCATCAATAATGTTTATAATCCCCCTTTTTTCCCCTCCCCCTAATGTCTCAACAAATAAAACGGATTTGTAAAAATGTTACATGGAAAAAATACGAGAGACATTACACTTACTTCTGTAAAACAATAAAATCTTTAATAAAATAAAATATACCACTTAGTATGTAAAATCTTTAAGCGGTTAACGTAAAACACGGTAAGATGATTTAAAGCAGAAAAATGTCTCTACAACATTTAAAACTGAAAATAAAACGAAATACATCAGTAAAAACAGAAGCCATCAATAAAACATTCAGTTAAACATCAATAAATTATCAGGTAGGATCACGTGGTGACTCTTAAGAGGCCAGGAGTGCCTGCTTAAAAAGATGGATCTTTAGGAGGTGTTTAAAGCTTGCTTCTGCTTCTGCCTCACAAATAGTACATGGGAGGTACACTGGCCATGTTGGCTGGGGCGGACAATCCAACAGTACCTGGAGTGCCACAGGTTCCCCATCCTTGGCTTAAAAGATAAACCCAGCAACAGGCATCCTCTGTGGAACCCCTTAAACTGGGCATGGAATTCTCTTCCACTGCCTGACTCTTCCATGCAAAGTGAGAATCATGCCTGTAGCCAGTGGCACCACTGCCAAAAAGGCCCTGCTCCTATTGCATTTCAGAAAAGCATTCACTGCTTGGGCGGGAGGGAAGGCAGAAAGTACAGGACTGCCTCAGAAAGGAAGCTGTGGTACCTCTGCTTTTGCCAGAGTGCTGAGGGTCTCCAGGATTTTGTGCTGAAGCAAGTACTCCAAACAGGGCCCTGTCTCCCCCGATGGCTGCTTCTTCTCCTCGTACGCTAGGATATCTAGCATCTGTTTCAAGCGCCAGGGGATGTCCGTCTCTTTTGCTGGCTTGTTTTCATCTTGAGAAAAGACAATCAGCTTGTCACAAGCAGACCCACTCACCCGTTTTTCATCAAACACAGGGATCTCATTCATTCTTTACCCAAGCACTGAAAAGATGGTTGAACAGCATCATTTAAAAACATTTTAATATGTTTTTGCTTTCTTCCTTGTTGTTTGCTCCCCTGCGCTCCTTTGGGAGGAAGGGTCTGATATTAATTTAATAAAAATAAATATCCAGAACTAATTCCTGCAGAATGCAGCTGCAGACCTCTCTGCATGGCAAATTCTGAATAGGGCTAAAGGATCTGTGCTGCTTCTCAACAAGACCGATCCCAGAAGCTCTGTAACAGCTTTCCCTAACCTCCAGATTCCAAGACAGCAAGACTGGAGGTCAGGGATGATGAAGTTGTAGCAGTTCATTAACATCTGGAGGACACCACAAAGGTGGAGGCTGATTTATGGGCCAGGATTTGTTTTTTGCCAGTGTTAACTGGCTTTTATCCATAATTTTATTTATACAAGTACAGTGGTGCCCCGCAAGATGAGGGATTTTCCAGGCACAGGTATGTTCAACTTCTGAGCCCCTCCGAGCCAAAGGCAGAAAGCCCAGCCAGCAGCCAAACGAAGCCTCAAGCGGTGGTTCCCACAGCACAGCAACCCAGCAAAGGGATACAGTGGTGCCCTGCAAGACGAATGCCTCGCAAGACGGAAAACCCGCTAGACAAAAGGGTTTTCCATTTTTCGATGCGCTTCGCAAGACGAAGTTCCCTATGGGCTTGCCAATTTTTTTTTGCTCCCCCCCCCTTTTTCAAAGGCGCTAAGCTGTTAATAGCCTTTTAACAGCTTAGCCGCTAAGCCCGCTAAGCCGCTAATAGCGCTAAATCGCTAATAGCGCTAATCCGCTTAGCCGCCAATGGGGTTGCTTCGCAAGACGAAAAAACCGCTAGAAGAAAAGAATCGCGGAACGGATTCTTTTCGTCTTGTGAGGCACCACTGTATTTCTGTTTGCTCCTCTGCAAAACAGCAAGGTGGTTCCCTCTTGGAAAACAAGGGCTGGCCCACTCTATGGCATTTTCTCATACTATCATCATATACTCCTGCCTTTCAAAGTTCTTCAGAAATGTCAGCTGGATCCAAAAGCTGTCATGTATCCTTAAAAGGGGGAAATGGAGGAAAACAAAACTAGCCTATTCTGTCCCTATAGATTCCCCTTTCCTCACCTTGATTTCATGGTTGGTTTGTTTTTTAAGTGAAAGATTTATTATCATTTTGATAAGAGTGTCTCCAGGGTACTTTTTGAGCAGGAAAGTGGGAGATAAGCATCTCAACTCCATATATAGCCTCATTTGAATGTGGGCCACACCGGTCTGACAGGTCAGGACAACTTGGGCCACAAATGTATTATTTTCCCTTTCAGCCTACATGTCACCTGCCTTCCTTCGGAAAAGAACATTCACAGAATCATAGAACTGTGGACTTGGAAGGGATCCAAAGTGTCATCTGGCCCAACCCCCTTGCAATGCAGGAATCACAGCTAACTTAATCTAAGAAACTTCCTCCACCTCCACAAAATAACTGTGTAGCATAAGCTTTGCGTTTCCATCAATCAACAGTAAGAGCAACGGTAAAGAAAGTAGCAACAAGAAGAAAAGTGAGGTGTGGCTGCACACAAAAGGGAGCGAGTGCTGGCATTCGTGGCCACAGGGGTTCCTACCGGTGGTCTCCAAGTAATACTGGGTGATGCCCTTCCAGTGGTCCGTGAAGGCGACCGGGAGGTCCAGGCGCGGCTCCTCCTGCGGGGGGGGGGGGAGAAGAAAGCTGCTGTGAGGGGAAAGGCCCACGCTGCTCCCTTGCTTGTATGCCTCCTCAGCAGAGCTGGATTTACATATAAGCTAAATAAGCTATAGCGGGACGCGGGTGGCGCTGTGGGTTAAACCACAGAGCCTAGGACTTGCAGATCACAAGGTTGGCGGTTTGAATTCCCGTGACGGGGTTAGCTTCCGTTGCTCGGTCCCTGCTCCTGCCAACCTAGCAGTTCGAAAGCACAGTAGAACCTCGGCTTACGTTGCCCTTGGGCAACGTAAACTTTGGGTTGCGAAAGTGGCAACCTCGGAAGTATATTTCCGGGTTTTGCCGCTCGCACGTGCGCAGAAACTCTCTATCCTGCCACGCTCATGCGCAGAAGCAGCACCTCCGGTTGCGGAAACCTCGGGATCTGATCAGAGCTCTGGAATGGATCCCGTCCACAACCGGAGGAACCACTGTATTCAACACAAAAAAACAGCGACAGTTTGTTGTTGACAAAGGACAGCTGGACATGGAAAGGGCCCCATTCCTTCGGTAGCTTAGGGCCTCATCAAACCTAAATCTGGTCCTGCCCCTCAGCCCACCCTGAAAGGATGGGTAGACGGGAACAAAGAGGGGAGTGGTTTTCTAAGGAATGAGCTCCATCCCTGACCCCACCTGGGGTCGCCCGCCAGCCAGGTAGCCAGTGAGCCAGCCAGCATGGGCATAGCCAGGATTTTTTTGGGGGGGGGCTACGCCCATGCCAACCAATTAGGTAGCCAGGTAGCCAGCCAGGTAGCCTGCCAGCCAGCCAGCCAACCAATCAATTCGTTTGCCAGGTGGCCAGCCAGCTAGCCTGCCAGCCAGACAACCAATCAGGTAGCCAGGTAGCCAATCAGGTAGCCTGCCAGCCAGCTTCCTAGCCAGCCAATCAATTCGTTTGCCAGGTTGCCAGCCAGGTAACCTGGCAGCCAGATAACCAATCAGGTAGCCAGGTAGCCTGCCAGCCAGCTTCCTAGCCAGCCAATCAATTCGTTTGCCAGGTGGCCAGCCAGGTAGCCTGCCAGCCAGATAACCAATCAGGTAGCCGGCCAGCTCCCTGATCAGTTGATTGACCAGCCGGCCAGCCAGTCAGGGAGCCGAGCGGCCAGCCCAGCTCCGCTAGCCCAGCTCCGCTCCCTCGCCCCGCCGCTCACCGTCTCCACGGCCCGTTGCAGGAGGGCTCCCAGGCGGCCCAGGAGAGCCATGGCTTCTCCGCGGGAGGAGAGAGGAGGAGCCTCCCCGCCCAGGGCGCCGTCTGCGCCCCTTCGCTCCTCAGCCCAGAGCCGTTCCTGCCCAACCGTGGAGAAGGAAGGCAGGAGGCCCTGATTGGTCCATCCGAGAGCGCCCGGGGGCGGGGCGGCGGGCGGAAAGGGGCGCGGCCTCCGCGGGACGTCATCGGGGCGCGACGGATTTGGCGGCGCGGGAGGCGGCGGCCTCTCTGGGAGCTGCGCTTGTCTGTCTCTCGCGGCTGCCGAGCGGCCTCCGCTACCCTTGAGGGCCGCCATGTCCTTGGCGCCGGTGCTGCGGGCTGGCAGGGCCCGCGCGGGACTCAGCTCGCTCAGGGTGGTGAGTAGGAGGGGGTGGGGGTGGGAAGGCTTCCCTTGTGCACCCGCCTTTCTCCCTCAGAGGAGCTCAAGGTGGCGCCCGCCCTTGGCTCTCCCTCTCCCACAACAACCCTGTGAGGTAGGCTAGGCCCCCCAGGCTCCCACCCTGCGAGGTGGACGGGGAGGAAGGATGGCGAGCAGGCCCACCTCGGGTTGGAATTGGGGCCGCATCGCTTTGGTCGACAGAAACCACTGTAGGAATTAATGGACTGGAAGCTGCCCCAGCCCCGCCCCCAATGTTCAATTTTCTTTTTTTTTTATAAGATGTTTATTAAAGTTTTCAATTTTATACAAACAAAGAGAAAAACGTAAAAAAGAAAAAGTATTAAAAACACATAAAGTTCACAGCTTATTTTCAGTAACATATTTCCCTGACCTCCTCATACCTCCCCTTCTTGTTTTCTAGTTCAAATTATTTGTCCAGCAAATCCTTATCTCCTAGCATTACAGCTAAATAACACCTTATTTTCTATCCAACATCTTAAATTAGTGTAGCTTAAACTTTTACTTATAAAAAACCATTTTTTCATATTCTTTTATACCATTACAGCTAGAAACCACTTAATTTCAATCCAACATCATTCAACATTCATTAATATTGCAGTATTTCTTTAAATAGTCCTTAAATTTCTTCCAATCTTCTTCTGCCAACTCTTCTCCCTGGTCGCGGATTCTGCCAGTCATTTCTGCCAATCCCATACAGTCAATCAACTTCATCTGCCATTCTTCCAGAGTGGGTAAATCTTGCGTCTTCCAATACTTTGCAATGAGTATTCTTGCTGCTGTTGTAGCGTACATAAAGAAAGTTCTATCCTTTTTTAACACCAACTGGCCGACCATGCTCAATTTTCTTACCTTTTTAAAACAGTGCTTTGCAGATTGCTTGTTTTGCTTACTTTCTTTATATACCGCCGCAAAGCGGTTTAGGTAAAGGTCATTGCCAAACGTAAGCATCAATCTGGAGAGTTTACAGTAGATGGCAAACATTGTCACCCAAGAGGCATTTTCTGAGGGGGCTTCAGTGTTGAGGGGATTATGTTTTTCGTTTCAGGGAAATAGTACTTTTAGCTAAATGCAGATTTAGGGCTTAAGACTCATTAAGACTCATGCTTAAAAAAAAACCCACACATACCATGGAGTTGTAGGTTTACATAGAAAAGTCATTAAGATGCCTCAGATAAGGTTGCTAATATTGCAAGAAATCTTTGCTCTTTAATAATTCTCCTTTTTAAAAATATGATATGGAGAGGGGGTAAAGTAACTGTCGGCTTTGTAACTGATGTGAAATGTGACACCGATCTCTTGTGTGACAGAAACTTGAGATTTCTAGTTGGTACCAATGGTATTGGTTTGAAATATTTATGTCCTGCTTTATCTTGAGACAAAATAAACTTTGCTGTTGTCTGAAGACAGTTTGGGGCCTCTGCAGGCTTCCTTGTCAGATGTTGGTGCTCCTACTGAGAAGGCCCTGATCCTATTTAGTTCCTGTTGAACTTCAGCTAGTTGGGAGCACACATATCAGAACTTCAGTTATTGAAGAAGACAGATAAGACAGTAGATAGGGGAGAAGGTGGCCCTTAAGGTGTCCAGAATCTATAGAAAATTTTGCCTATTAAGTTGTTGCTGGCAATATTTCAGTCATTGTATGATTGTTTGAATCCATCTTAATTTGTGAATGTGACAATTGGTGACATGCTGGTATTAATGGTGGGATCTACACATATATAAAAACCGTTTTGAAAATGCTTTTTTAAAAGCGTTTTTAGAAAAACATTGAATTTTCCATAAGGCTCACCATTGCCGTCTTGTGCCACATTGTATATCGCACTTAAAACACACTTAAAACGTTTTGTTTGCAGCTGTATAGCTGAGTCCAATGAAAGGAAGCTCAGTTAAAATTGGGGAGGGTTTTGTTCATTGTAGGAAGCCAGTGTGATATAGTAGTTAGAGTGTTGGACTAGGACCTGGGAGGCCAGGGATTAAATCCCCACTCAGCCTCGAAGCTCAGTGGGTGTGACCCTGGGCCTAACCTACCCCATAGGGTTGTTTTACGAATTAAATGAGAAGCAGCAGAGCCATGTATGCCACCTTGAGCTCCCTGAGGGGAAAAGTTGGGATTAATTGCAATTAATAACAATAAATAAATAATAGTGTTCTGTTGCATTTCTGATGAAACCAGTATAAAGCTATCTAATGACATCTAATGTTTCTTTTTGAAAAAGTTCTGTCAGAGTTAGGTCAATACTGTGGTTCCCCCCCCCAAAAAAAAACCCCACACTGTATGGTTTTGTTGCATATAATGTTAATATGGCAGAATATTAAATCTTAAACATAGTTAATTCAATCTGATTTTTTCCTTCTAGGCAAGGCTTCATGTGAGTTCCCGGTGCAGCCTACGGTATAACTGGCTGGCATATTTTTTGGGAGAGAGAACTACTCCAAGGTTGAATGCAAACAGCAAAGTCTTCACGGTGGATGGCAACCTACGAAGCGGCAAGGGCAAGCTTGCACAGCAAGTAGCAGAGAAGCTAGGCATGTACTTCTGTATTGCTGTTGGAACTCACATATACAGTGGTGCCTCGCAAGACGAAATTAATTCGTTCCGCAAGTCTCTTCATCTTGCGAGTTTTTCGTCTTGCGAAGCACGGTTTCCCATAGGAATGCATTGAAAATCAATTAATGCGTTCCTAGGGAAACCGCCTTCAGACCAGGTCCGGGGACAGTCTGTCCCCCGACCTCTTCTGAAGGCTGGGGGGGGGGGAACAAGGGCCTTTCTTCCCACCCCCAGCATTTTAAAATCGCCCGGGACAGCGGAGGACTTCTCCGCTGTCCGGGGCGATTTAAAAGCCCCTGGGAAGGCAGGCAGGGGGGGACAAAGACTTTTGCCCCCGCCTGCCTTCAGAAGAGGTCCAGGACCTCGTTCCGATGCCAGGCGGCGGGGGGAGAGGTTCCCGCCCCGCCGCCCGGCATCGGGGCATCGTTCCGATGCCCGGCGGCGGCAAGAGGAGGTGTCCCCGCCCCGCCGCCAGGCTTCGGAGGAGGTCCGAGGGCAGCGGGGAAGACGCGCTGCGCTTCCCCGCTGTCCCGGAGATTTCCCTATGGGCTGTCGTCTTGCGAGGCAAGCCCATAGGGAAATTCGTTTTGCGAAGCGCCTCCAAAACAGAAAACCCTTTTGTCTAGCGGGTTTTCCGTCTTGCGAGGCATTCGTCTTGCGAGGTACCACTGTAATTTGTAACCTTTTGGGTAGTGGAATGCCCTCCTTGGGGGAGGCTCACCTAGTACCATATCTTTAAGTTGCAGACAAAAGCATTCCTCTTAAACTAGGTCTTTGGCTATTCAAGCGGAGGAGGAGGAGGAGGATATTTTTTTGCCCACCCACCCTGTTTCTATTTAATTTTTGTATCAGAGCTTTGGGTGTGAGTTTCTGTTGCTGCTTCTTTGGGAAGCAGCATAGAATATCTATGTGTCAATGACAGCCCTCTTCATTCTGGTTGACTTTTGATGGCTGGCTCTGGGTTGGAGGGTTCATTTCATATAGGCCTATTGCGCAATTAACAAAACCATAGCAAACTAGTTGCAAGTTATATTTTCTGAGTCAAATCTACATACGTTTGGAGATGAAATGGAACTATTGCATCATTGCATTTATATTCCATCTTTTTCTCAAGGAGCTTAAGGTGCATAGTTCTTCCTCTATTCATTTTACTCCCACAACAACCTTGTGAGGCAGTACCTGACCTGGGTCACCTAGTGAGCTTCATGGCCAAGTGGGTATTTGACTCCTGTTCTCCTAGGCCCTAGTCTGATACTCTAACCATTGTACGGCACTGCCTGTCTTTGTAAACAGCAAACCATCTTTGTTTAGAAATGTGCGTCTATGTTTTGGCAAGTGCTGTCTCAGAACAGATGTTCCCTAATATGTGATGGAGAAGGAGAAATGTCTTGTATGAGAAAGTACCTGTCAGCCCTGTGGAATTTTGGTTGCTTATTTTAAGCATAATTAATAACTTGAAAAATCTGTTGTTAATCAGAAACACTTTCTAAATTGACAAAAAAAGATTTTTAATCAACTTCTAATAGCCTAGATAATAGGATCTTAGTTTTATACTACACTTTGATCCATCCTGATCCCTTAGGACATAAGGTGTATAAAATAAATACACAGCAGTGGCCATCTGGAGAAGATGGGATTTGAGAAGACTTTTAAAGACAGAGACCTCCAGTTGTCTTGCATTGGTTTGCTTCTGAAAAGTGGGTTTGGAGTGGAACGTCGTTGAAGAGTGCTGCGTAGATAATGTAAAGAAAGTCCTTGCATGTGTATAGAGACGCAATTGAGCTTGTATTCTGGAGTGGCTTAAGATGAACATCAATATCTAGCTTTCCCTTTCAAATCTTTGATTGCTCTTTCCAGGTTTGCGATACTTTCCAGAAGCAGATATTCATTATGTGGACAGGGTCACAGGAGATAGAACAATATTGGATTCAAAATTCAGCGGTAATTGTAGCCTGGAGAAATTTTACAGCAGTCCTAAACACCCAGATGGAAACTCATATCGGCTTCAAGCCTGGTTATTCAGTAACCGCCTCCTACAGTATGCTGATGCCCTGGAACACCTGCTGACCACAGGTAATCTAGTTCCTTTTGTTCCTAAATAAACTTACTAATTGAAATTTGGATTCTGTTTAGAGAAAATGTGGCAAAATAAAAACATAACTGGGAATTCACAGAGCAGCAGCCAGCCATAGTTGGTTC